TCTATCTATCTATCTATCTATCTATCTATCTATCTATCTATCTATCTGATCAGAATTTCCTGGGTATTTTCCTAGGTAAGGAGATATACGTTTATTTTTTTATTTATTAATTTGATTTGTCAATCGCTTACAAGATAATAGGTATTAGAATGAACATAGTTATGAATACAAGAAATAAGTACATATAAGAAAAATAAAAGATAGGGACGGTAGGCACGTTGGTGCGCTTATGCACGCCTCCTACAGACCTCTTAGGAAAGGGGTGAGGTCAATAGTAGAAAGTCTAAGGTTAAAGTTTTTGGGGTTTGGGGAAGAAACCACAGAGTCAGGTAGAGTATTACAGATATTGACCACTCTGTTGCTGAAATCGTATTTCCTGCAATCAAGTTGGTGCAGTTAACCTTAAGTTTGTATCTATTGTTTGCTCTTGTGTTGTTATGGTTGAAGCTGAAGTATTCATTGACAGGTAGGACATTGCAATGTATGATTTTATATACTATACCTAGATCGGACCGAAGACGGCATAGTTCTAGTGTTTTCTAGGTCTAGAATTTCGAGTCTGGTGGCATAAGGTATTCTGCAACGAGTAGAGGAATGGAGAACTCTTCTTGTGAAATATTTCTGGACTTTCTCAACTGTGTTAATATCAGATACGTAATGTGGGTTCCAGACTGATGAACTGTATTCAAGTATTGGTCTGGCAAATGTTTTGTATGCCCTAGTTAGTAGTGCGATATTACCAGAGAAAAAGCTACGTAGGATTAGGTTAACAACTCTTAATGCCTTTTTGGCTATGTAGTTACAGTGGGCTCTAGAACTTAGGTCATTAGAGATGAGTATTCCAAGATCCTTGACCTAGTTTGGATCATCAACAAGGTCTTGACTATTCAGCTTGTATTTTATTTTCTGATTTTTTTTGCCAATATGTAGGTCAGAGCATTTATTTGTTGAGATTTGAAGTTGCCATTTGTTTGACCATTCTGATACATAGTCAAGGTCTTTTTGAAGGGTAGCGGTATTGTCTGTGGCAGTCTCCCCCCTCTTCACGACCTCTATGTGGTGGCTTAGCCCCAAAACCAGTTGGCTCAGGACACTCCAGCGGCGAGCACAGATCTAAACTGCACACAATCACAGATTTTGGTCTGTCGCCGAAGAAGCTTAAACCGGAAGCCGCTTGTTTACATGTTCTTTGTCATAATCGGGGGCTCTGTAACATAGTAAGAATTGAAATGGATATTTAAGGATAGTTCATAGACGATGGTCTCAGGAAGAGCTAGCTCCTGGGTGACTTGGATGTTTTTTAGATGTAAGGACTTTTTATAGAAGATTGCAACACCACCCCCTCTACGGATTTCACAATCTGATTGGTAAACATGATAGTCTCTTACTGTGGTAATGGAGTCAGGGAGAGATGCATTGAGCCATGTTTCACAGACAAATATGATGTCAAATTTAGCAGTATTTAGTAAGAGGAGGAATTCAGGTATTTTATTCACAAGGCTTCTTGCATTAAGTAGCTTGCATTTAAGGTCAGCTGTAGTTGTAATTGAAGTAGTTAGGGGCATGCGTGCCTAGTCTTGGGTGATGGTGGATTGGTTGGAGTAGGGTTGGATGCTGGGTTGTGGGTTGTGTGACTTACTTTTGATACAGTCAGCACGGTAGTCAATGTATAGGTCCTTCTCTCCATTGTCTAGACGTTCTGTTGTGGTTTGGCATTGGATTTTTGTCTTGGCATGGTAGGTAAGTTGTGATAGTACATTGGTTAGATTGTTTAATGAAACAATTTTGGGAATCAATATAGTCAATATCACACCAATTAATCAATTACAATAATCTCACTAGTCAAATAATTTTGCTAAGCAACAATCAATTAATTACACCGATCAATTAATTACACCAATCGCTAACCACACTGTTCAATTAAATTCACTAAATCACTAATTTTACTAGTCAATTAAATTACATGAACCCTGATCTTTTAAAATTAATCATTTTATGATTATCATGACAATCACCTTATAAGGCTGTTTAGATCTTTATAGAAGGTACAATAGGATATTAGGTATAATTAGAATAGTCCCTTCTCTACAGGGGAACAGTCTCATTTGGAACTTTTTACATCAGCCTTCCAAAATTGACGTGGAGAGAATATTGAACCTTCTAAAGTTAATATTCTTTGGAATTTGGAGACAGTTACATAATGTAAATAACTTGTAGGTTTGAAAGTGCAAGTGGTGGTGGTGTTGAATGTTCAGGAAAACATTAATGTTGGGATTTGACTTTGATATTTAGATTGAACATGATTTTATTTAAATAGGAAGTTGCTCATAGGCCTACAAATGGTATTTGTATATTTCTTATGAATGTTGGAATTTAGTTAAGCAGCATCCACTAGTCTGTATCCATGATCTCAGAGAATGATAAGCCATCTCACATTTCTGTCCAGCTATCTTTTCAGTGATTGTAACATGTGTGGGTATTGATGAATTCCTAGTTTATTTGTGGCAATTAATTTAAAGACTTTCTCTTCTCTGAGGGCATCTCTCCAGATTGCCTTACTGCAAAATTCTGGTTGGTGTAATCCTATTACAGTTGGCACCAAGTTTAGTTAGCTTTTGGTGTTAGCAAAAGAGCTGCTTGCCAAGACTTTTGGCTGAACTTATGCTACTGTGTCATTAAGCTTGTTTCTGTCTTTTATTGTCATGCTGCTGCTATATGGTTTTCATGTTTGTAATTTAGTATAGCTTTAATTTTTAAAAGGTTTGATGGATTTATTTGATCTACTTTAATCCACTTTATTTCTGAGGAATGGTGAACCAAAAATGATTACTTATTTGATCTACTTTAATCCACTTTATTTCTGAGGAATGGTGAACCAAAAATGATTACTTATAGGTAATTTGCTCATTTGCTTCCATGAAGCAAAGGCATTTGCAGAGCCAAGATATGTAAGGTACTGTACATCTCACATTTGTTTGCATACTCTGTATGGATAAAATATTTGTTTCCCTAGAAAACTCTGGTACAACTGTTTGCACATAGTTCTTATGAAAATAAACACAAGAAGCAAAATGAAACAAGTAAAAACATTACATGAAATGTTTCCAGTGTAAGTCTCAAATCAGATTGAAAGTGATTTATGACAAGAATTTTGTTGGTAGTCCTGAAAGGGCTTTTTTACTGATCACAATGATAGTGATGTTTCATTGTATAATAAAATGAATCATTCAAGGTTAAAATGCAGAAAAATGGCACAGAGGCTGATTTAAAAGAGTAAAAACCATTCAAGTTTTACTTTTTGGTGGTGACTCCTTAAATTGGAATGTGATTTATAGAGCTCTACTCACATGTAAGCCAACATAAATCTTTCTAAATTTTATTCTCTCTCTCTCTCTTCCTATTTCCCTTCTCTCTATTCTGCAGATTTACACTGACTGGGCTAATCATTATCTAGCAAAATCTGGCCACAAACGGCTGATCAAAGATTTGCAACAGGACATTGCAGATGGAGTTCTACTAGCAGAAATCATCCAGATTATTGGTAAGTCCCATGCATTTACCCATAACCTGACATCTGACTTCTCAGATAGGATATAAAATACAATAGAACTAGAACAAAGTGTTCTGTGAGGTGAATATTAGATAGTTGTGATTCAGACTGTTTATTTCTCTCTATATACTTATTTTCAGAAATAGAGGCAATGCTTTCTAATTTTTTAAAATGTTCAGAAATTTTGATAAGGGTTTGTCTGAATCTATTTGTATGTGATCCATCCCTTTTATAGCCCAAGGACTGTGTTTCACACACTTGGCAGACTAAAGTGAATGCTTCATTAAGCCATGTGTCTCCAATGTGTGCATTTTATTAACTGGAGCGGTTTATGCTTTCTGAGATTACTTGAAACTGTATCTTGATCCCACAAAAACAATTGTGGAAGATTTCATGTCAGCAGTCATTTGGCAGGATCTGGAGAATTAGCAGCAACGTTCTCTGCACTTCCCCTTTGCATGAGGGAAGGAACTGCCGCTAACAAGAAAGACTGTTATTGTATATTTCAAGCGTGCTGAGAGCAAAGTTCAGTATGTGCAAAATACTGAATACTTGTGTGCCTATTTGCTTTCTCTTATCTTGTCCTGTTGCCTATTCTTAGACATGATTTTTTTTAAAAAAAACTTCATTGCTTTCTTTTAGCAAATGAAAAAGTTGATGATATCAATGGTTGTCCTCGAAGCCAATCTCAAATGGTAAGAATAAATGTATGTATGTATGTATGTATGTATGTATGTATGTATGTATGTATGTATGT